TTGTCATCTGCGGAATTATAAAGAAAATGAGCTACTGCTTTAACACACTGTAACTCATATAAACAATATGGAAACATTAAAAAGGTGTCACATTTGGTGTAGAAATATTTTGTGTAACATCATATTTTCTTAATTAGAAGGTTCACTTTTTCAACAACAAAGTAGTTTATTTCTATTTTGTATAAATAGACACAGACTTACAAAAACCATAACCTTGTCTCAGGATTCCAATATCATGTCCTACTATGAAATAATGGCTGGATCTATTTTCATTATAATGACCTTCTAAATCAAAAATATTCAAAATTGATTTATTCAAAACTCGCCCATATATACAAAAACTGAAACACAAGTTTGTAGAATTTTTTATGCTCTTTATGACATAAAAATACTTTTCATATCTCTTAAGCTGACCATGGAAGTATTATATTGACAGGAACTCCAACGGAAAATTAGCACATTCCCATCCCACTGATTTCTTTAAGAAAATAAAAGGTTCTGACTCAGTTTGTCAAGTACGTGATAACTCCTTTGTGGGGTATCTGCGATGCTGCCTTCGCCTGTTCTGCTTACTGAAGCTGGTCTTATCATGTGATTTGTAATCGAATGCCTTATCTACCTACCAATGTAAATAAACATGGAAACTACCATGGATATTTGTGGATGGCCACATGAATGACGACACCTGTTTCCGTCTAATTAATGAAGGCGAAAGCTGAAAAGATTTTAAAAATCGGTCCATATCTAACAGAATGACATAAGAAAATTAACTGTATTCGGAAAGAAGGCAAGATTATTTTTAGTCGTGTTTAATATGTTTTAATCATTGGAACTTGGAAATCGGGAAATCTCCGGTATTAAAAATCACATGTACCTGAAGTAGGGTGTTTGCAGAAAATAATGTGATACGCATGAAGAGTGTAAGATGGCATAGGATAACTCAAATTTTAAGTTAAAGGTTGCAAATTTTTATCGAGTGTTACAAGAATATTTATGGTTTTCAGGTTACAAGACAGATAACATGTTACATGTTTTGTAATAATTCAAAAGTTAAAAACAACCTTCATCCTAGTCCGAGATTGCCCTGACGTCTGACGGATTTTTGTTAGGAATGCCCGATTGGCTTAACTTTGATATTTTTGGATGTATTTAAAGAACAATCATCATGATGGTCCATATCTCGAGGTCCCTTTAAGCAGTATAATATTTTTTTTATTCTTAAGATTTTATAATGGGAACCAATTTAATTTTGTGGGTAAATGCTTAACAGTTCTGAAACATCTTACTACGTTTGTTAAGTAATTTATGTTTTGTTTCTTGTCGAATTCCATAAAATATTTGCCATTGGACTTTCAGTAAACAATTAATCAAAATATTTGTCAAAGTTAGAAGTAAACCTCAATAATAGATCAAGAATACAACTATTTTTTTCCTTACACAAGGAACTTATTGTTATTTAAGCAAATATTAAAGTAAGGAGATATGGTATGATTGCCCATGCGCTGTTTCATTATGCCAAAATATGATATTTTTTCCCGATCAAAGCCCTTTAAAACCCTTTTCATTTTGTCAATTCCTTGACAATTGAGTACACATCCGGTTATTTCGGTAGATTCCGTAATTACAATCAATGACGAGGTTCCAAAAATTTGATTCAACCCATGCATCGATATAACATGTCGAGTTAATTAACAGATACTTAACAATTTTGCAACATCGCACTATAAACGTTTGAAGTTGGTTTGTTGGATTTCCTGTCAATATAATACTTCCATGAGCTGACAAAGCCAATTTCAGAATAAGAACAGTTTAATTCTAAATATTTAAAAAAAAAAATGTTGGTTATTTAGAAACATGCAGATAAGGTGGTTTCAAAAAAGCTTTTGGAAAAGATTCTTGGCTATCTCTTCTTCATATGGCACTTCATTTGTTTTAATATTTTTTAGCTGTTTAAATACAGCCACCCCAAATTTTCCTGACAGTTGTGCTATCTTAAAATTTGTTATTTGATAAATGAAGTACTATCTGGCTTATAATATGAATTATTTGAATGTAATGTCATTTCCATGTGTTCTTTCCTTGTCCTTTGGTCTCTGGTGAATTTTTGGCAATCACAACACATCTCATTATTTGTATATTTTGTAGGCTATCAGCTATGTGACAGTTCAAATTTTAAGATCCATATCCAAAGAAGTTCAGGGGTACCGATTGTGCAAGGTCATTAATCATTCCCTTAGTAGTATCTTTAAAAGTCAAATTTATGGATATACATGTATGATTCCATCAGTAAAGCTTAATGTTCCAGAAAGTCAGGATAGTGAGATGGTTCAATATGATTCAATTTGATTTCATTTATTTACTGTATATTACTACCCAAACCCAAAAAGGCCTATTGAAGTCTCCATGATTTTTCAGAAATTAGATTTTCAGGACTTATAGGATATTGCAGTGCATTATTGGAAAATTTTCTTTTTTGAATAATGATGTTTGCCATGGCAATAAAAGATTGCATTAGGGGTTCTTAAAGAAAATTACTTCACAGTTGGGTAGTAATGCCTTTACTGGTACATATAATAGGTATCATCTTTGGTCAAATTTGAAGAAAATGACATAGTTCTCAAGTCTAAGAAAATGGGGGAAATTTCTCACACAAATCCATAATAGGTGTCAGCTTCAACATGCATGCGATGTTTGTGTGAACTTTCCGGGATCTGTGTTAATAAACTGGAGGAGTTCATTACATAAAATAAGTATCAACTTTCCTCAACCTGCCTGTCCATCATCATTCATACTATAAGACGGTTTTGGCTTAATCCAACCTGGCCAATAAGCTAAATTATGGCGATTTACAACTTTCATACTCTAATCTTTTAACTACATAGTATACACATATTTATTAACTGATATTTATCTTATAAGTTTTAAGAACTAAAATTGTGGGATACAAAACTTAATGCTAAGCTTTCTCTCTCTCTGGTAAAAGTCAGTTCTTGTTAGTGATATTTCTTATGTGGACAAAATAGGTACTATCAAAACCAGTAGAAAAAGGCTATATGTTGTTTACATCCTTGTCCTTTGGTCTTTGGTGGATAGTTGTCTCATTAGGCAATCATACTACATCTCCTTAATGTTATAATATGTGTATAAAGAGAAACAAATGGCATATAAATCTGCTTTTTTCGACTTAAAAAGTCGAAATTGACCTTCCTGATTTTTATACTGTGCATTCCACATTATCCATGATATACCAATTTTCGTGGATTTCGTTGTTGTAACAGGTGAACTGCGAACCATGTTCAAAGAAAATTTTTCAGAAGCATGTATGCATACTTTGGCATAACCATGAAATCAAATATCCACAGAATGCAAGTTTTCCTCAATCCACGAAATTGATAACAACAAAATTAAATGAGTCCACAGTATTCTATATTGCAGACAACTGGATGAAGGCTTGCTGGAGTTAACTTTTGATTAGGACTGTTTTCTTTAGTTCAATGATATTTTTTAAACATCTCAGTTGTTTGTCCATGAACTGGTTGGCTTTTGATAACAGATTAAGAATTGTATATCTATTTTCAAATAGATTGTTTTCTTAGTATCAACCCTATTTACTAAATCTTTTAGACTATGCACAATTATTTGTTGGTTAAAATCTAACGTATGAAATGTACCACAGATGGATCAGCTGACTGAAACACCATCATAATCCGTTTTCAAAAGCAAGATTTGAGAAATACATTTTTATGCATCAAAATATTTCCATAAAAAACTCATAATATAACCTGATGTACTTAAAAAAATGCAAGGTCACCATAACATAGGCTCATTATTGATACTTCAGCTATGAATATTCAGTTAATAGGAGCTTGATGTGCAATGAATTAGAAAATGCATCACGTAGTATGAAGCTTGATACTAAATTTCAGGAAGTTCTAATTTATAGTTCTTAAGAATAATGTGACTAAAATATGATGGGAAAGATGGACATAAGGACTGACAGACATAACCCTTTGGATCAGGTGTATAAAAACTTATCACTATTGCAATGGACATTTTGGCAGTTTGTCATCATTAGTTTACATGAACTATTTTTATGCCAAATATTTTCTTCAACGAAATACACAACTGGCATAAAAATTCAAAAAAAAAACATTAAAACGCATACATATTTTACATACCCAAAAAGAACACCCTTTTAGTATTTTCTAAAAATAGCTTATGTGTAAATAGATCAATTGTTGATCCAGGATTTTGAAAAAAAGGGATAAATACCAGTTGTACTAACCATATTCATAGCTCCCCAAAGGGGGCCCTAAATTTGCTCTGAATATACACAATGTTTGCCTCGAAATATATTAGTCACTTAGTGAAACAATCAATTCAAGAGTTTTATGATTTATGTTGCACAGAATTCATGGAAAAAAAGAGGAGTAAAGATATTTAAATATCGATCCAAGGGAATATGTAGACTGATAAGTGTATCTTATAAATGTAAACAGGTAACAGTCTGAAAATTTCTACACTTACAAATGTTTGACAAGTGAACTTCAAAGGTATTTGACAAACATAAATTTACAGATTTCCTTTTGATAAGAGCTTAAAGCAATACCACAACTAAACAAGGTCATTATAATTTATAAAATAAATACATAAAAAAAACTCATTAGTATATACAAACTTTATTGAAAAATGCATCATAGGCAAATGTGACATTCAAAACTCTTAAATTCTAAAAAACATACTTTCTTCTTTGAGGGCATTCTACCAATTCTTACCAATCGATACAAATACAAACTTTAACATGAATAGGCAATTTAATTAGTTCTATCCCTATCAAGCTTATGGCAAACATTAGTTCTTTATAATATCATTTCATACCATTTTTGATCTGTATAATTACACTTTCACTGAATTGTGTTGGAAAATATTATCCCATGTAAATTTTTTTTTATACTTTTCTCAAAGTTTCTACCACTCCGTAAATATCAACATCAACCCACCTTAATTACACTAAAGCTATGGTCATCATCTACTGTATCAACATCTACACAACCACTCTTTTGTAAAAACACATACGATTCAGGATCTGACGACAGTTTTAATGCATCTATCAAAATAATAGAAGTCAATAAAAATTCAGAATAGAAAATATATAAAATTAATCTACGGTTATATGAGAAGATTTGGAGAAAATATCAACAAGAAAGTAAATTAGCAACCTAACTAAACTTCATGAAATTTCATCTATAGTGTAAATTTTGAAAGGAAAAAATGAGCATATTAACCAACAAAATACATCTAAAGTGTTAAGTCAATTATTTAGAAATACGTAAAATACATTATAGTATTTCTATCTATGCCTTTATATGTATGGGTTTTCAAAAAGGGTTCCAGTATTCTAGCAAGAATCTGTGAGCAGCTGAGTATACAGTCCAATAAAAATAACACTTTTGTGATGTCATCATTTTCCCAATCAATTTTCCACACTGACAAAATATGAGAGTACTTCCTTGTCTGAAATGGATTTGATCAAATTCACTCAAAAAAGCTTAGTAATCCAAATGTTGAAGAACAGTATTACATTTTACAAGAACTGTAGTGGGTTATTCATTGATATAGTACCATAGGTTTCTGAGAAATGGATATATACACACTATTGATATAATAAACTATTGACACAGACAAAATATGTAATGCCTGTATGTAATTTTGATAGTGTATAGCAAATGTTGAAATTTAAATGTCCAAACTTTAACATGTAAACTTATATATATCAGATATCAGAATGTGAGTTCTTATTATTACAATTTTCACCCAGTTACATTATTTGCAATAATTTCTGAATTTACAGCAGATATATATTTGCAGACAACTGACATGGATTTCAGTTCACATCTTTATCCTCTGGTCTTTATGGATAGTTGTCTCATTGCCAGTCAAACTACATCTCTTTATTTGAATATTTATTGATATTTCATATTTAGGGGACCAAAAAATTTCACATAGTCCACCTCTTGTTCTTTTTTTAAATCAATTATTTGAAGTCAGAAGATAAAAAAACAGCTTTGAAAATATAAATGGAGAATGTGTCCATGGGACACAGATGATGCCCCAACTTACATATAACGTTATAAAGGGACATAACTCAAGAACGGTTAAAGGGACGCTACACAAATTCATACTTGATCTGAATTTTGTGGTAATAAGCATTGTGTATAAGTTTCATAACATTTGGTTGAGGCAAACTTAAGTTAAGAATAGAAAGGAAAAATTCAGCAATTTGTCCATTTGTAAAGGGGCATAACTGTTGAACAGTAAAAGTGACGCCACCAAAATTCGAACTTGATCTGTATTTTGTGGTAATAAGCATTGTGTATAAGTTTCATAACATTTGGTTGAGGCAAAGTTAAATTAGAGAACGGAAACCAATTTGTGGGACGTAAGGACGTACGGACGTGGGTAAAACTTAATGCCCCCTCGACTACGGCAGGGCATAAAAACTTGAGTTCATCATACCAAGTAACTCTTTATCAGCACCTCGTAACAGTTGATAGAACACATGGAAATTTCTTTCTCCTTTCATCTGGAAGGCTACCCGTGACTGGAAAATAAAGCCATGATTTTAGAACATAATCAAACAAGCAACAATTTAAATTATCAATTATGTTTTTCCTTAACTGGTTATCTAGTTTAAATAATAAGTTTTGTAAAGAGTCAAGAATGCTGCTATTGGATTATTACTATTTTTTCTGAGGTAAATCATATATCCTTCTTTTCAATTAAAACTTAATATATCATGAACGTATATACATTGTATTAACATTAAAGAAAAACATCCTCTTTAATTGTTCTTATCCAGAATAAATCCAAAATTTATCACTACCGCAAACTAAATTAACCATATAACAGTTCTATCACTTTCTTTTAAATTTTAATACTTCATTAACAATTATATAGGAAATAGTAGCTTTAATACCAAAATTCAATACGATTGTCAATTGCTAAAAAAATGATATGGAGCAGAGAAATCAAATATCATGGCTTCTGGGCATTTACGAAACTCTTGGGAACTGATGATTTTTAAGTAGTAAGATAGTATATAGTTTATATTTTTACCTTTTCCAGTAAATCTGTAACAAAGAAAAAAATAATGCTTTATAACTTGTAAATAAAATGCTTCGCTGGGCGCAGCTTGATACGACCGCAGAGGTCGAACCCTGAACAGTTGGGGCAAGTATGGACACAACATTCAAGCTTGATACAGCTCTGAATTTGGATTGTGATTAAATATTTGACACAGCATAGGTTTCTGACACAGAAAGAATGTGGTCTAAGAACTTCAATTTTTTTAATTTACCTATTATGGTCCAATGTCCAAAATCAAAATACATGGTTAGATTCAGCATATCAAAGAACCCCATATATTCAATTTTTGTTGAAATCAAACAAAGTTTAATTTTGGACCCCAACTTGGACAAACTTGAAAACTGGTCCCATAATCAAAAATCTAAACACATGTTTAGATTCAGCATATCAAAGTACCCCAAGATCTCAATTTTTGTTAAAATCAAACTAAGTTTAATTTTGGACCCTTTGGACCTTAATGTAGACCAATTTAAAAAACGGGACCCATAATTAAAAATCTAAAACACGGTTAGATTTGGCATATCAAAGAACCCCAATAATTCAATTTTTGATGAAATCAAACAAAGTTTAATTTTGGACCCTTTTGACCTCAATATGAACCAATTTGATAGCGGGCCTACAAAATAAAAAATCTAAATACATGGTAAGATTCAGCATATCAAAGAACCCCATATATTCAATTTTTGTTGAAATCAAACAAAGTTTAATTTTGGACCCCAATTTGGACCAACTTGAAAACTGGGCCAAAAATCTAAAATCTAAATACATGTTTAGATTCAGCATATCAAAGAACCCCATATATTCAATTTTTGTTGAAAGCAATCAAAGTTTAATTTTGGACCCCAACTTGGACCAACTTGAAAACTGGTCCCATAATCAAAAATCTAAACACATGTTTAGATTCAGCATATCAAAGAACCCCAAAAATTCAATTTTTGTTAAAATCAAACTAAGTTTCATTTTGGACCCTTTGGACCTTAATGTAGACCAATTTAAAAAAGGGACCCAAAATTAAAAATCTAAATACACGGTTAGATTTGGCATATCAAACATGTCAAAGAACCCCAATAATTCAATTTTTGATGAAATCAAACAAAGTTTAATTTTGGACCCTTTTGACCTCAATATGAACCAATTTGATAGCGGGCCCACAAATAAAAAATCTAAATACATGGTAAGATTCAGCATATCAAAGAACCCCATATATTCAATTTTTGTTGAAATCAAACAAAGTTTAATTTTGGACCCCAATTTGGACCAACTTGAAAACTGGGCCAAAAATCTAAAATCTAAATACATGTTTAGATTCAGCATATCAATGAACCCCATATATTCAATTTTTGTTGAAATCAAACAAAGTTTAATTTTGGGCCCCAACTTGGACCAACTTGAAAACTGGGCCCATAATCAAAATTCTAAACACATGTTTAGATTCAGCATATCAAAGTACCCCAAGAATTCAATTTTTGTTAAAATCAAACTAAGTTTAATTTTGGACCCTTTGGACCTTAATGTAGACCAATTTAAAAACGGGACCCAAAATTAAAAATCTAAATACACGGTTAGATTTGGCATATCAAAGAACCCCAATAATTCAATTTTTGATGAAATCAAACAAAGTTTAATTTTGGACCCTTTTGACCTCAATATGAACCAATTTGATAGCGGGTCCACAAATAAAAAATCTAAATACATGGTTAGATTCAGCATATCAAAGAACCCCAAGAATTCAATTTTTGATGAAATCAAACAAAGTTTAATTTTGGACCCTTTTGACCTCAATGTGGACAAAGTTGATAACGGGGCCCAAAAATCAAAAATCTAAATACATGGTTAGATTCAGTATATCAAAGAACCCCATATATTCAATTTTTGTTGAAATCAAACAAAGTTTAATTTTGGACCCTGATTTGGACCAACTTGAAAACTGGGCCCATAATAAAAAATCTAAATACATGTTTAGATTCAGCATATCAAAGAACCCTAAAAATTCAATTTTTGTTAAAATCAAACTAAGTTTAATTTTGGACCCTTTTGACCTTAATGTAGACCAATTTGAAAACGGAACCAAAAATTAAGAATCTAAATACACGGTTAGATTCGGCATATCAAAGAACCCCAATAATTCAATTTTTGATGAAATCAAACAAAGTTAAATTTTGGACCCTTTGGACCTCAATGTGGACGAATTTAAAAACGGGGCCCAAAATCCAAAAACTTAATACATGGTTAGATTCAGCATATTAAAGAACCCCAAGAATTCAAGAATAAAACCCCATTGAAATTGATCAAGAAATAAGCAATTTATACAAAGTATCTTCTTTTGCACAATACTGTGCAATTGAATATTTCTTGCTATTGTGCAATACTGTACAATTGACAATTTCTTGCTATTGCGCAATATTGTGCTATTGGATATTTCTTGCTATTGTGCAATACTGTGCAATTGAAGATTTCTTGCTATTGCGCAATACTGTGCAATTGAAGATTTCTTGCAATTGTGCAATACTGTGCAATTGAAAATTTCTTGCTATTGCACAATACTTATTATATAATAATTTACACATCCTGTTTGGTGTGTATCTCCTACCATATCATTATTATTTGCTTTTAAATATTAATCAGAAATAACCAACTTAAAATGGAAAATTTTAAAAGAAAAAAAAAAGGAAAAAAAGAAAAAAAAGGAGAAAAAAAAATCCCCCCCCCCCAAATTTTTTGAACCCCCTTATGATTCATCACCCCCAAACTCAATCCCAGCCTTCCCTTTGTGGTATGGTACCTTGCAGTACAATTTCAGAGAGATCCATACACTTGAACACAAGTTATTGTCTGGAAACTAGAAAAATGCTTATTTTTGGCCCCTTTTTGGCCCCCAATTCCTAAACGTTTCAGGCAATTACCCCCAAACTCAATTCCAGCTTTCCCTTTGTGATATGGAACCTTGTAGTACAATTTCAGAAATATCCAAACACTTACACACAAGTTATTGTCATGAAACTAGAAAAATGCTTGTTTTTTGCCCCTTTTTTGGCCCCTAATTCCTAAAATTTTGAGGCAATTACCCCCAAAATCAATTACAGACTTCCCTTTGTGATATGGAACCTTGTGGTACAATGTCAGAGAGATCCATACACTTACACACAAGTTATTGTCTGGAAGTTACAAAAATGCTTATTTTTGGCCCCTTTTTGGCCCCTAATTCCTTAACTGTTGGTACCATAACCCCCAAAATCAATCCCCACCTTCCTTTTGTGGTATTGAACCTTATGGTAAAATTTCATGGAGATCCATTTACTTAAACTAAAGTTAGAGTGCGAAAACCAATGTGTCTTCGGACGACGCCGGACGACGCCAGACGACGACGACGACGACGACGACGACGACGACGACGACGCCAACGTCATACCAATATACGACCAAAAAATTTTCAATTTTTGCGGTCGTATAAAAAAGTAAAGCTGTCCTCTTATTAGGACCCATAGCCTCACTTGAGGAAAACATAAAGGAATAAAGCATTTTACCTCCATGCAAATAAGAATCAATCTTTATGACTGTTTCGTTATGTGAAGACGTTCTTCATTATTTCTTTAGAATATATGTCATAATGACTTTATGACTTCATGACTACTAGTAGTCCTAGGTGGTTTATAATTGATTTTTTCGTTTTTGCCATGACATTGTCAGTTTGTACTCGGCTTATGAGTTTGAATGTCCCTTTGGTATATTTCGCCTCTCTTTTACAATTCTTTCAGTCTTGTTTTGGGTGAAAATAAGTAAACTGTAGTATATCTTTAATTTTAGAAGTAAATAAAATGTGTGTATCTATTTGTTTAAATAATTGTTTTCCCTTCTTTTCCTGATACCATGTGTAAAAGTATTCTGCAGTATTTAAAAATCATGACACCACTGATAACACCGGTAAAAAATTGTAAACACTTTATTTTGAAGGAATATGAATATTTTAAAAGTTATAACTTTTTTATGACCTTAACTATAATGAAATACAAATTACAAGCATCTATTATTTCCTTATGTATGCTAGTTACATAGTAATGTCTTCCTGAATATCCTACACTTTATGTAGTTTTACAGTCTTAGAATTAATGATAAAAGAATTAAGAAGCTTTCCAAGTAATCATCCATCTTTTAAGTATGTTTTCAGAAACAAACAAAAAAAATTCATGTATCCTCTTTCTACACAATACAATGCATAATGGCTGCCGTGGAATATCAAATTTTATTTTAGTCAAAATTACACACAAGATTTCCATCAGGTTTAATACAAAAAAAATACAAATGTGAGAGCTAATGTTGATGATTTGTCCCAAGTATTAGCCAATTCAAAATTCATGGACCCCAGGTTTTTTATACTGATTTTCTAAATACTTTATTTTTTATAAACCTGTGAATTTCTGGTTTTATTTATTCAAGGTTATACTTACAATTAGTAATGACTCCACCTAAGGGATCTCCTTTGTAATCAAACTCAATGTCCATATACTTCCCCTAAAATTAAAGTATAATAATATAGTCATTCTGTGGAAAACACATTGAAGTAAAACTGACCCGACAGACAACAGTCAGTGATATTAATGGCTAAGAAAAAAAACATGAAATACTGTGAATGCATTATTGTTTATGGAGTACCAACTATTTTGAATTTTTGTATTTCCCTCCAACCATGAAATTTAGTACCCATCAAGCTATATATTTTCCTATATGTGTGAATGTGTTTATCATAAAACTGCAATTTTAAAACCCTTTTTTTTTAAATTATGTTTTCACAAACTACGAAAGCTGATACACACATAGAAAAGTACTTCCACAACATAGAATTAGTTCTGTCAGGCTAATTTACTTGAACAGTAATAACTTTTTTCGAACTGAAATTATTTCACCTTGCACAAACATTTATTTCATTTTACTACAGTTATCTACTTTAATTTCATGCTGAATGTTTTAACCCTGAGATGTACAGTTTAACTGTAATTTTTCAACCTTTTTGAAAAGTGAATTTTATATAATGATTCCATTCATTTTTTGATAATGACCTTATAGTTTTTCTTCAAAGACAGTATTATGAATATACTGCTTTTTATATACATTATGTTAATCATTTATATGATAAATTAACTCAGTCATAATTTACAATGATTCTCAACTTTTATAAAACTTACAAATCGTGAAGAGTTGTCGTTTCTGTTTGTCTTTGCATTCCCAAAAGCTGAAGAAGAAAAAGAATGAACTTTTTACTAACTCTAAAAATATTATGTATTCTATATTGTGAAAAACTCCCTCTCTTCCTTTTATCTATATATGTATCACTCTAGGAGATTTCATAAATACACAACTTTTGTCTCAGGTGACACAAGAATGGATCTATATCTGTCAACAAAAAATTCAGAAATGATAAAACTGAAAATAGTGAAAAAATTAATAAATCTAAGTTCAAATCATTGCTAACTATCAGTGAAAGCTTAAACAGAATTTATAACATCATATTTGATTTACACCAAAACATACTTACTATATATATAATGGAATGACATACAGTCTTGTTACAATTACTTTCACTGGAATTTAACAGGGATTTTTTTAACCTTTATATCATCAACAAATTCTTCAAAACTTAATAATTCATGACGACTTCTAACATTGTCCCATTTCTTATCAATACTATAACAGTACAGTACTACATGAAAATGTGAATATTTAAATACCTTCCAAGACTGGATTTGACAGTATGAAAATGTGAATATTTATATACCTTCCAAGACTGGGTTTGACAGTATGAAAATGTGAATATTTATATACCTTCCAAGACTGGGTTTGACAGTATGAAAATGTGAATATTTATATACCTTCCAAGACTGGATTTGACAGTATGAAAATGTGAATATTTATATACCTTCCAAGACTGGATTTGACAGTATGAAAATGTGAATATTTATATACCTTCCAAGACTGGGTTTGACAGTATGAAAATGTGAATATTTATATACCTTCCAAGACTGGATTTGACAGTATGAAAATGTGAATATTTATATACCTTCCAAGACTGGATTTGACAGTATGAAAATGTGAATATTTATATACCTTCCAAGACTGGGTTTGACAGTATGAAAATGTGAATATTTATATACCTTCCAAGACTGGATTTGACAGTATGAAAATGTGAATATTTATATACCTTCCAAGACTGGATTTGACAGTATGAAAATGTGAATATTTATATACCTTCCAAGACTGGATTTGACAGTATGAAAATGTGAATATTTATATACCTTCCAAGACTGGGTTTGACAGTATGAAAATGTGAATATTTATATACCTTCCAAGACTGGGTTTGACAGTATGAAAATGTGAATATTTATATACCTTCCAAGACTGGATTTGACAGTATGAAAATGTGAATATTTATATACCTTCCAAGACTGGGTTTGACAGTATGAAAATGTGAATATTTATATACCTTCCAAGACTGGGTTTGACAGTATGAAAATGTGAATATTTATATACCTTCCAAGACTGGGTTTGACAGTATGAAAATGTGAATATTTATATACCTTCCAAGACTGGGTTTGACAGTATGAAAATGTGAATATTTATATACCTTCCAAGACTGGATTTGACTGTAACAGCTGCTCTTTGACCCTGTCTATATCTTGTCCTTTTCCAGACACCTCAGCAACATATTGCATTATTACCTTACTGGCCTCTGAAAAGATTAACTCTCACACTTAGTACAATCTAAAGAACAATTTCTATCATATAAATAATCTAGATAAAATTAAGTGCATATTTAGGATGAGAACATTTATGTGATGTACAAATATGAACCCTGCTTTGTACCTGACCAACACGCTGGGCCAGATCTTTTAAGTGCAATCTGCAGGAAGGCATGTCACTCCTACACATCATTCTAACTACAGGCCATCAAGCCTTTGCTCTTACTCCTTAATGGTTTGACCCAGCTTTGGATCAAACCCAACCCCTTTCAACACTGGCAATGGGTTAACTGAGCCAATGAACATGTCTAATAATCAAATTAACAGCTTGTTAATAAGCTGCTCCATTTAAGGTTGATAATAAAAATTCTACATCCACAACAATTGGTGAAAACTTTAAATTTAGTGTTTATAAGAACACATTTTGTTTGTGTAACTATTTTTGTTCACATATGTCAACCTCCACATATGAGAGCAGCTGGAATTTTTAACAAGAAATTATCATTTGACCTTTCAATTGATATATATTTACAATACCAGGAAAACATCGACGAGCAAATACAGTGGCATAAGGGCAAATGTTGATCATGCACTAACAATCATTAGAAGTAAGAGCATAATTAAGCATGAGTAAGAGCATAATTAAGCATGAGTAAGAGCATAATTAAGCAGGAGTAAGAGCATAATTAAGCAGGAGTAAGAGCATAATTAAGCAGGAGTAAGAGCATAATTAAGATCATATTTTAGCAAGTTAAAATACAAAACAAAAATCTGAACTCAAAACTCCAATTAAACCTTGCTTCTTAACACAATCATTTCTGTATGACTAAGCCTAAAACAGGGACATGTCAATCTTTCAATTTGTACAGTGTAGCATGCTATTAATATGTTTATCCAATGATAGTATAAGTTTGGCTATAATAATGAGTATTGCAGACTTAAAAGAGGTTTGTAATATAAGTCATAGTCTGTTAAAAGTTCACTGAAATACAGGTGGTACTTCATAATTAGGACGACTCAATTTTAAAAGATGCCTACTCTCTTTACTAAAATGGTCAAAGTCCATGTTTTGCAATGAGAATTCCCCAAAAATTATTTGGATAAAAAAAAAAAATGCCACCAGGCACTGAATACTTTCTGAAAAAATTTCACTAAAATTCAGTCATTGTTTTAGTATTAGTTGCAAATATATGGACAAACAAATGGACAAACAAACACACTAATGGACGGCAGACAAAACTATTCCTATATAATGCTGATTCCCTCAGCAGAGAGCATAGTAATACAAATATCCTGTCTTCAAACTGAATGAGAACAGACCTGTCTTGCCAGCTCCACTTTCCCCACTGATTATGATACATTGGTCCGAGTTTCTGTCTCTCATAGATCTGTAAGCTCCATCTGTGATGGCATAGCTGTTCAAATAAATGGTCAAATTCATCGAATTATGTTTGAATTGCACATACTGTTAATTAATCAAAATGTAAACATTCTGCCACATGTATAAACATCAAATACAGAAATAGTATCATGTTCAAATGTTTTATTGGTTCACCATCAAGGATACACCTCCTTCTTATAACAAAAGTTACCCTTTTCAACTGCTTTCAGTTTAAGCCATATTACTTATCTTCTGTATTTTTGTTTTATCTGTAACCAAACTATTTAAATTGAAACATTTATATGCTAACACTTGCATAATCTTTTTATTTATTCTAATTTAGTTACAACTTGCAAACTGCATACTGATATAGTGGCAAATATTTCATAAATCTTACAGCAATCATAAAACTTCCAAAGATCAGCAATATAAGTAAATAATATCACACTATTTCGTTTCATGTAAACAATACTCCCATCTACTATGGATTCATAATTATTCGTGGGTTACCAATTTTCGTCTATTTTGTGGGTATAGGTGAACCACAAATTCAAATGTCTAACGAAGTACAAATTTTCCATAGGCATGTATGTAGACATAAGCAAAACCACGAAATCTTACATCAATGAAACTGCAATTTTTCCTCAATCCACAAAATTGGTATCCATGAAAATAAAGGAATTCATAATACTATGAATCTCTACTTACATGTGAGGAGGCAATTCATACATGTTTCTATTACGATATTCATCAATGATGTCATGTGTGTACAGCGACACAGGTTTGTAGGGGTTGACCGACACCACCACATTTCCAATGTAGGTCTACAATGAAATAAATCAGAAAGAATTAAGTCAAAATTATGGACATGAATATAATGAACCTTATAATCAACAAAAACAATATATCTAGTCTATACATGTAAATTCTTTGTTTTTAAAATTATCAAATGACTTCTGTTTAGTCTATAATATACAAAACAAGCATTCTGAGAGTATTGCATGGCAATACATAGTCACCTACCGGTTTTACTGGAACAAAATGCTAACTTGTTCTATAACTTGTCATGGTGTAAACTATATAACAAATATCAAGTCAATATCTTCAAGCATGACGAAAAAAAGTGTGGAAAACTGATTATTTAAGTGAATTTTCTAAGTCCAAGGACCATAACTCTGCACAAAATCATCTGACCAGAACAAAATTCGAACTTGATCTGTAACTTGTCATGATAAAACTATATACCAATTATTAAATCAATATCTTCAAGCACGAAGAAAAAAAGTGTGGAAAACTGATTTGCCGGACTGACGGATGGACAGAAAGACAGAGAGACAGACGGATGGAGTGCAAACCTAAAGTCCCCTTCGACTTCGTCGGTAGGGGACTAAAAAATCATGTTAAAAGACCATCTTGTGACTGTTGGATAATGTTCTGAATTTGGATATTTTGCAGTCTCATACATTTATTGTGGTGTATGTGCAATGGTACTAGTCAGTTCAGGCAGTTCTTTTAAAAATGTTATATCAAAATAATGAGGTATGATTGCCAATGAAGGGCCTTTGTGGCTGAAGTATTCGATGTACTGTATTACTAGCCTGTCAACACTGAGGTTGTGAGTTTTAATACCACATGTAGCATGTGTGCTAAACTCCAATCATAATTGACTAGGAATGTCCGTTTTCCTACTGAAGTAGGTGGTTCTCTCCATGTACTCTACAGGTCAACATACAGCCTTCAACAAAGAGCAAAACCAAAACTGTACAGCAAGCTATAAAGGGACCCGAAATAACATATGTAAAACAATTCAAACAAGAACCAATCATACTTCTCCTTTTACACTGAAATATATCTCCATACTTTGATATATCTGAATCCATTAAATTATGGAAATAACTTACATAAATCTGGTCATGATTGAATCTGTCGGTTAGATTACGGATGAAGTTTTCCTCTGTCAATGGATGAAGTAGAACAGCATCACTAACCCCTACATTGTTTTCAAATATGGCAAGAGTTCCTTGGTGTAGGGCCATTCTGTCACATGACCACTAACACTGAAAAAGAAAATACAGTTATCAATTTCATGTACCAACCTTGCTATCTCAATGGTTACTTTGCATATGGTCATTGTATATGAAAGGATTGAAGGAAGGTTCAGATGCTTTGTACTGATGCTGCCCTGGCTACTGAGTGGAAGTCAGTTCAAACAAGGGCATATTGGGAACCATAAACCAATAAATCCTTTTGGATTGCTAGGAAGAGTTGCTGCTAGGATTCTTAATGTGTACGTAAAGAATATGTACACAAGATACCATTTTTAAGAACACAAATCAACAAGGCCTGGCTTCCAATGTAACACAGTAGATCTCTGTTCAGCAATATTTCTAAAGTTTGGCAGGTGAAGTCCATGTGCTCAATGTCTACATAATGGAAGCTGTATTTTCATACTCATGGTAATTTGATGGGCTTTTGATATGGAATGTAATTCATAAGCATGGACACATAATCAATCAGTTAATCCACAGTAAGGAATGCCCTAGAAATAACTGATTGCCTATCTCTTGCACTGCTGTAACTTTTTGAAGCATTAAAAGAGTATGTTTAATTGCTTGGAAATATACAAATTCATATATATCATTTCTTTTTAAACATTTTGGTTTCATTACTATCATACTAAAAGAGACGGTCCATTAGGGCTAATTTCGGCCTAAAATTCAAAGTACAACTGATGAAAGATTTTTGACATTTTTTAAACACTTAAGTGTCTACTTTAGTTGATTCAATTAGTTTATGTTAAAGATTTGAACTGATTTGGTCATTAAAGACGCTCAAATTCAAGCTTAAATAGGAAAAATCTATCAAATATGCCACAAAACGTCACTTTTCAGATGGTTTTTGTCCAAAATAGAAGTGGCTGCATTCGTGTTCAGTCTTAACATTTATATATGTTATGTATTATTATCAAACACTAAATAAATTTAAATATTAAGACTGAACACTAGTGCTGCCACTTCCATTTTAGACAAAAACCATCTTAAAATGAGCACAAATGCTAATATTGTGAAGATTTCAGTACTTTTGCATGAAATAGTGATGCTAGTACCCGTTTTATTTCCATTGTATTGTCAAAAACAGTCCATATTTATGTAACTAAAGTATTCTACTTTCCAATAAATAGCTAAAAGTTTACATTTTCAACAACTTTGTAAAAATGTTATATTTTGGGGCCAAAAAGGGGTCTTACTGGCCCTACTCCTTTCATAAAACTCTTGATATTGGATGCTATAATCTACTAGTTTTGATGCAAAGAATAGTATAATTACAGCTACATACATAAACAGTTAGTATACAAGTGCTGTTATATGACTTGTATATATGGAAAAATACAAGGAACAAATTACCATACGTTCAAGTTCCAATTCTTTACTGACAACTAAGATAACCGAAATTTTGTTCAAATATTTCCATATATATCTGTTCAATTCAAAAGTTAGCATACATCTTATTACTTCTTTTTAATTTAATCTTTCATATCCAACACCAATGTTGGTGGTTTAAATAAATAGTCTATATAAACATCAACAAAAATATAGTAGCTTAAAACCTAAAGGTAAACACATTCACTTTTTAAAATTTAAATGCCAGTTATGTAGACACACTACAATATTACATGGTAAAAGCTATCATAAACAGCTCTTTGATGTGTTTACAACTTGTCTTTTTCTACACATTTAATGATTTAATGTATTTGGTATACACTTTTTGACATTTCAATAATGGACTTAATGTTTATTATGCTGATTTTACTATCTTGATTCCATAATTCAAATCATGATTTATGACACTGTATAAAGACTTTGTGAACTTTTACACAATATGATTTCATAGGTACCTCAATGATAACTTATTGAACTTTTAAATGATTTAACAGATTAAATAAATCTAAGGAATGATTTTACAGATCAAAGACATCCACTAAGAAATCAAGTACCAGTACATAAAAGAAATGTACTGACATCACATCTAATATATGGATACTGCCAGCCATAACATTTAAACATGGCCTCTTAAGTATGACTGAAGACAGTACATTGAATATTACTGAAACAAAAACCCAGAACATTCTTATAACAAATATCCTAGACTATATCATGTATCCGGGTGCAATTCTCATCTTTCATTTTTAGCGTTCCACTGAACCTGTAATTCAGTGGTTGTCCTTTGTTGCTGTATATCATATTTGTTTTTTGTTTATGGGTTTGTACATAAATCATGTAACATGTAAAATAGGGAAGCTGTAAACCTTGATGACATAGTCTGAGTCACCTTGTTCTTAAATGTAAAAGGGTTTTTATTTTAGGAAGCGTGCCAAAACTTGACAAATGCACTGAACTACAGTCAACTCCTTCTAAGACTTCTATTAGTTCTAAGGCATGATGACTGCTGTTTATATGAATTGACATCTGTAATTCCCATAAAGATAGGTTTTAATTTCTCTCCAAACAAATTCAGTCAATTTTGTCAATAAATGGAAAGAAAATCGAACAAAGGAAAGAGAAAAAGAGTGTCTCAGCAAATATTGTCAAGGCCATGTATGTAGCTTACATAACACTAAATGAAAGAACTTATGGAACAAATGAAAAAAACAAGCCAGCATCCTATTTGCATCAGATGTCAGCAGTTTGATACTTTAAACTGCCCTCCAAGTAAAATAGTGCACTTGTTTAAATTTCTTACAAGTTGAACTGTTTTCATGGCTAGGACACTGAAAGAGGTAGGATAAATTTCACATCAGTGCCATTTTCTAACAGATTTTCAATCTTTTCTAAATTTCACAGTATCATAGATTCAAAAGTGTATTTGAATGTTTTAAAAGTATATTGGTGTATTTGTGAACAGGCTTACCAAAATTATAAATGCCTATTATAAGATGGGTCAAAATTGCAATTTTGACAGATTTTGACAAATTTTGAGTATTCATTCAATAAACGTTTAATAACATCCTTAACCAAAATAAAATTCTATGGGTTTAGTAAAGCTATAAATTGTTTAGTCAACTATGAATCAATATATTTTGGTTAGAGATGTCTTTAGATCATGTAGATGTAACATTTTACAAAAACATGTGAACTCTGATATATTTTATCTTCAACAGCAATATTATATGTAGCGCAGAATATTTTTATTCTTTAGAAATAAGTCAATTTTTTTTTTATAATTTGTGTGAGAATATATACATGTGCAGCCTCTTTTTATTTATTTAGCATTTTCAGATTCCGACCCTGTGAGTGAAACTTATGCAGGGGAAATTTGTCCTATCCATTTGCAAAAAAGGTCAAGGAAAATGAACCTGATGAAACCATACCGAACTTTTTTTGTGAACTTATTTGTAAACTGAGTAATACAAAGTAGTTACTTTTAATACATCCTTGTTCTTTGTTCTATGGTGGATAGATGTCTTACTGGTAATCATACCACATCTCATTATTTTTATCACGTAATTTAGCTTTCATGCAATCCTGGTAATTTTACTATACAGATAAAAACACACATGGAGTATATAATGAGGGATAATAAATACTGAGTAATTGCTTGTACTTATCTAAATAATTTTAGATTTTTTAAAATAAATTTCATATGGAATGTTATTATAAATATAAGATTTGGGATGATTACCAATGATAAAACTTAAATAGAACAAAGGACATTTAAGCTGTGAACAATTACAGGGTACTGTATTGCCTTCAAAAATGAGCAAAACACACACTGTTTAGAAAGCTTTAAAAGGTCCATTATAACAAAATGTGAAATAATTCACAGATTTCAAAAGAGAAAACCAACAGCCTAATTTACACTTCCACAATGAAGATTAAACAAGACCAATACCGGGTCTGGACCCAAGTCGCTTCATGAAATTGATAACAGATCGAGTTTCATTGGAGCCAGGAAAACTTATTTAACAAACATAAAGTAATTCCCAGTTTCCTAAAAGCAAAGAAAAGATTGATGAAAACTGTCTGTGAATAAAGAGTGTTGCTAATCAAATTTCAAACTATCAGCAAACAGGAAGTGGCTACACAGCAGATGTTAAAATTGCATACAAGCTACAACTCAATATTTTCAAGCTGCAGACCAAATATATTCACTTTTGGACATATGGATGGATGAACAAAATGATAAACGGAGTCAAGTGGTTACTATACCGGCTTTCGCTGTTTGGGACACTGATAACAAATATAACAGACAGTAACAAACAACAATTTTCTATTGATTATAAGAACTATTTTGAGTAGCAATTGCTTTCACAAGAAATGAGCATTTGTTTTCCTGTTTAATAATCTCATGAACATTAATTCAACCACCTTAAATAAACAGTCATTTAAATAAAATACATTTACAAACTTATAATAGACCACGAATGTATATAAAAATCAGTTTCAAGATAATGGTTTCTGTCAGAGCCTTGGCAGTTAGATGCTAAAACTGATGATTCAGGGCAAAGCATATATATTATCCAATTTTTTTTTTTAAACTTTTATGATTTTGCATAGAGCCTTTGGTATTTTAGATGTGATTAAAGTCAACAACAACATTTTTATTACATTTCTTATAGTTTCAAATAATTATACATCTGATGTCAACATGGTCAATGAATGTGTACCAGAAAACAAATACATTATCTTAAAATACTAGTATCTGGTATTTAGTCACGTAAGAATAAACCTTTCTTTCCAATATGATCTCAGTTTCAAGCCCACCCTTCCTTCACAATTTCTTCAGCCTTACCTTCACCTTAAATGTATACATGCTCTATCTAAGCTTCCACAAAATGATTTACCCTAAATTCAGTAACATATTTCTCAATTACTTGTAACAAAGGTTTAAGTACATCCTATATGTTCATATCATACACAATGACAAATAATACAGAGTCTGTGTTATAATTAGTCAACTGTTACTTTAATTATTTGCAGCATGACAGATTTAATGATTCAACATTGTATATCACTTAATAATCATTAATAATGCCCTCAGAATGAAATTATGTAACATC